TTTTCCATAATCAAGGTGCGAATGACTTATCTACCATCACGCACACATATAGGTAAACCCCTTTTGCGTGTGAAATGATCAAAAATAAACAATATGAGATTAGGGGACCGAGGACATCTTCAGTCTCATAACTGACTTTATTCATCTCTATAAGTTGATTTGACCTAATCCAAGTTCTACCTAGCACACAGGTACGTTGATAACCTGGTCAATTTGCAGCGAACCGGCATCAACATCTGGGTTCGCAGCCACAAGAGAGTCCAAAGTGATTCCCAACTCGGCCGCAATCAAGAAAAACGTGTCGCCGCTCTGGATTGTGTACGCAGCCTCTCCATCGGTCACACAAGTCGCCGTTCCACCGGAGGTACGGCAGGTGTCGTTATCAATGTTGGCTGCGCACACATTGGTGGGCACGGTCAGCACCTGGTCGAGAGCCAGGAAGTCCGGGTTGGTCAGCCCGTTGGCCTCGGCGATGTTGCACACGCCGGAGCTGTACTCGGCGGCAATCTTCTCCAACGTGTCGCCCGACACCACGGTGTAGGTCACGCTGGGGCCATCAGTGCAGGTGGTGTTGTCGGTACGGGTGAGCATGAGAAGTTTAGCTGCACCGGGCACAGTGGACCCGCGATCCATCACGTCGGTAGAGCAGGAGAGGATGCTGCCGACTTCGGTGTTGTTGAAGTGGAACTGGACTGCCTTGGACTCGCAACGCTTGGCGATTGCGTGGCTTGGTGTCGCGATGGCCAGAGAGGCCAGGGAGGCTAGGGCGAGGGTGATGAATTGCATTTTGACTGTGGGTATAGGCGTATTGCTGGAGTATTGTTCAAAGATGAGGACCTAAGACTGGGTGCGTTTAAAGCAGACTTTTCAAACGAATGTGGTGAGGACTTCAGAAAGAATGACTCTGGTTGAGGAGGTGCCAAAACGATCCAAGTCGAAGTCATGATGGGAATTGACAACGGTCTATATACTCAACAGTGTTCGTGACATTGTTGCGCCAAGTGGAGAATATCTCAATGGCCCACTAAGTCTATACATCGTCTAAGGCACTGACTCGAATACTAGGCTCGCCCCAAAACATATTCATCTTAGGTTGGAGCCCCTTAAATGCCCAGCTACTGCTCCACGCTTGGCCCGGACCGTAAACGGCCATTTAATTAACCTGCATTGAACTTTGTTTTCAACGTGGTTAGATCTCACTTATTCGGGTTCGCTCTTCCTAATTCCCTCACCATAGCACCGACTCGTCGCCTCACACTGGCCTTTGGTCTGTTTCGGCGGCAAAAAGTGTCCTGTATGTCTCAACACTGCCTCAATAATTCCTTAATTGTGCTGTTAGCTTTCGTCCCCTATTATGCTCTACGTACAATCCTAGAATCTATGACATTCGCTAGGCGACGTCCGGTGATTTTGGTAAACCTTAATTGACGATGGGTGGAGTTCTTCGTAATGGCTCGTTCGGCCTGAGCAAAGCAAAACTATCTATGGAGGTCATAGAATAAGACATCAAAAGTAGCAAGGACCATCGACATCCAGAGAAACATGCCCACAAATAGATCAAGTGCAATCCCGTTGGGCATGAGCCTTTTCGTAGACCTTCAAGCCCTGATTTTCCATTAAGTATATGCCTTGAAGCCACATATCAGACCAGACTTTGGGCTCCTTTGAGTACCACCTGTGACGATGCGCTTGTCAGTCAGGGTGTGAAGCCTGTTCAGATTTTTGACCACACGCATGTAGTCACCAAAGAAACGATGAGCCCTGACATCCGGACCGGTAAGAATGCCATGACCCAGTGTAACTCCCCAGAAAGGCAAGACATGTGGGCCCCCTCCAAGCATTATTGCGTGGGAAGCGGTGTTCCGGTCCCCACCTAGAAGAACTGAGTAGATGCAGCCCGAGTAAGTCACCCTGTCCCGGCTGGCACGGCATGGGAACAACCAAATAGTACTGCTCTTGTCGCTGCCAATGACCCCACTGGATATAGCCACAGGGTGCCACGGTGTAACAAGCACGCCCTGCAACCTGACCATCTCCAGTCTTTTTACCGGCGTTACCAGCACCGCCGCCACAATCCTCGGTCCCATGGGTGTGGCTACACTCATGCCCTCCCGTAAAGTCGAGATCCGAATCTTGGTGCCCTTGGCAAGCGTGACCAGTGCGCGCCCGGCGAAGCACGGAGCCGATGGGTCATTCCAGTCACGCATCGAGTCCGTCAGCCTAAACCTGCGACCATCATGCATAGTCGCGGGAGCCTGCGAGCGGAGGAGGTCGCCACCATCTGGTCCTGAGATGTCGAACTCGGGCGAGTCCATTTTCCTGGTTCTTTTGAACCGCCTGAATGACACTTGTCCATGAAGATTTTGCGAAGATATCTGTGTTGTAGAGACCGGCAAGATACTTGGAGTTGGTGGCGGAAGATTATCGAAAGCTTCATTGAGGACGTTGCGACACTTGATGAATAAAGGCGAGTTGACACCGTACTGCAAAGGGCCGGGGTCCTTGAAGCTATTACAAAGCTGGTGTGCGTGAGCGCCATGGATCGAGAGAAGGTAGTGCTGACCCCAGCGTTCGAAGTACTCTCGTTTGGAGAGTGCCAGTGAAATCTGACCGAAGGGCTCGGGGCTGATGAGATCTTTTACGAGGGAGCCACACTGCGAGTCGTTTGAGAACTTGGCGGCTGGGATATTGGCTGCGAGGTGGCGAAGTTCCTCTTGGTTTTGTCGCAGAGATTTATCAACGGAACCACTCGTTGGGATACATGTGCGGTGCTCGCCCAGGGGATCGATCGGGTAGAGAGAAGCCAAAAATGCAAGAATCTCGTGTCGCGATACATGGTATGCTATCTCGGCGGGAGTGAAGGGTAAATCGGATGCATTGAAGCGGGCTCTGCAAGTCGAACACGTCCCCTGTCCCCTATTGTAATCGAGGCTGACTTCGATGGATATCATATCGTCCTTTGCCTGATTATGGTCGTCGCTCTTCCAACGCAGGAAGACGTCGCGAGACTGGCCATACTGAATGTTTCCCAGAGATATTGCCAAATAATAGGCTTGGCTCCCCGCAACATGTCGCGGCTCCTGTTGGTCAACTGTTGGTCCTGCAGTTTGCTCAATGGTGATGTGGTCAGGGTAGACCAGGTTCAGCACTGCATTCGTAGCAAAAGTCGACTGTAGATGAGCCACGGCGTGGACGAAAACTGTGCCAATCATGCCTGCGTCCGGGATGAACGAGTAATTTCCTCGTCCAAGTTCCGCGATAGATTTAAGCAATCCCGATCTCAATTTGTAGCCAAAACCAAAGGTGTGGATTGTTGGTCTGATGTTGCCCATTGTCCTCAATGCCGGCACATATCCTGCAGGAGGACACATGTGGTTAGGGATACCATCGGTCAGGAGCATGACAGCAGGCACGCGGCTGGTGTTCTCTTGACTGCTCAAGCACTCGATGCCTTTCCTGAGTCCGGCCCAAAGATTCGTAGCGCCTTGGACGTACATCTTTTCGATGTTCTCCTCTGCTATCTTTTTGTTGGCATCGTTCATGACGGTCAATTCCTGAATCTGTCTTGCGTTGTTGGAGAACGTGATGATCGCCAGTCGGTCGCCCTCGTTCAGCGTTGACAAGATGGTACGACAAGCATGCTTGACAAGATCGAGGACAGACAATCCTGTTGACTCTTGATCGGAACTTCCTGGGATCAGCGCCTCGGCGGCCATACTCCCAGATACGTCAATGACTAATACGATATCGCAAGGAGTGTGTGAAAGCTCGTTGTTTTGTGGAACATGGGGTGGCTGAACTGTGACGATCAATTCCTTTTTGTCAAGCAATGGCCGAATTTCGACTTTGGCGTCTTCCACGTCAGTTACTGTCTGTGGCAGCGCATGTGCAGCTGTGTAAGCTGGAGGAGCAGCCCCATCGTCTCCCCCAATTGGCCTATAGACAGGCTGGATTCTAGTCTGCACAAGGTCTATATCAGTACTTATCCCGTCTGTCTTCGCCGAATAGATCTTACCATGTTCGTTCTGTGGTCTTTTCAGCGTATCAATGGAGATGTGTGTCTGTCAGTGTAATCGCGAGCGGACAGGCATTGCTTGGGATTCGATACTATTGAGCATCAAATTAGGCGAACTGAGAGGGTTTTTATGCCAATCGTGGGTATGTTCAAAAGTGTGCTAAACAGTCAATCATAAGAACCATGGAATTAGCGTCGTCCCACAGCCACTGAATCGAACAGAGTCAAACCTTGTTGTTTTTCAAAGACAGCTATGATTTTGAAGAAGTTCAAATTGGTTCAGCGTAGTAGGCAGCCCAAAACCTTTCCATCTTTGGCCTTAGCTTGATCCTCTCCAGGAAATGGATTAATTGCCTTATTCGGAGCTAGCAGCACAAAATACAGTACAGCTGGAGATAGCGGTGAAGGATTCTCTTAGGACAAAGAAAGGTGGCGCAGCTTCATTCAACAAACGAAAATCTCACGACAAAGGGAAACCTCATCACAGCTTCAAAAGGCCCACAAGAACTTTTGTCAGAATGCGGAGTGGAAAGCGAAGGGTCAACTAAGATTTCAATGCAGCAACTTGTTGAATTTTTGCCTAAGACACATTAATGACATCTGGGCAATATAGGTCGGCTCAAGTTTTAATACGATCTTTGGTTTTTTATCATTTGATCTATTCTTCTGCTATTCTCCGAGGGGCTAGCGAAATACACGGTCAATGATTGATAAACAAGCATTTCTAACTATCCCGTTTGCTACTTTTCTCCGTCCACATTCTACCTGCTTCTCTTTCGGCCGGGTGGCTTTGGTGATGCCCGGCTTGTGGTGGTGTGTTGATTTGGGATATGCACGAAATTTTCGTTAGATGACAATACCCAAAGACTTCTGGCAAAAGATGAGAAGTCGTGTAGCTTGTCATTATCAATGCTTGCGGTTCATCGGCGAGCACTGAGGCTTGAGAATTGGTATATAATTAAACTGTTCTGGGTGATGTGCATCATCTCTCGTGGCGCAATTGGCAAGCGCGTTCGACTGTTAAGCACACCAGTACATCGAGAGGTTGAAAGTTCGAGCCTTTCCGAGAGAGTTCTCTTTTTGTTTTCCCCACCCAAAGTAGAGATTTTTTGTGCTCTGGAAACAGACAATATCCTGGAAACAAGAAATATTCAATGAATGCGAAGAATTAGTAAAAGGCATCTAAGGAATGCAAAATGTGTCACAAGTGTGTTCGCGCATACCCGCAATCAAGGCGGTATATGCGTTTACAATATCTTACTGCTACTTAATAACCACTGGATTATCAGTCTTTACTACAAAGGAGACCTAAGCCGTAATAGCACACTTGGGAATTCAGCTTCAGCGACTCGCAAGAGGTCCAATTAGACTATGTACCGCCTTTCCGTGCATATCTACATAGGAGACCGGTAGGTAGCGCAGCCGGCGCAAGCGACTCAAATTCTAGACGCATTGCTAAAAGACAAAACAGCACCTCAATCCCCAGCCTAAACAAATTCCACATATCCAAAGTAAGGGGTGTTGTGCAGGTTGTTATCCGGTGTAGGACTCCAGGCCCCAGAGACGCGAGTGGGAAAGGTCTCGGGCGAAGTGGTAATGCGAAAGAAATTCATCCTCCACTGTGTACCAGCTACAGTCGTCGCGTCAACGTTGAATAGAGCCAATGGGATTTGAACGGATGAAAACCAGGTCTCGGCCGCCTTGTCCAACGTCGTGTTGGCTATCAGGCCGTCTGCGATGGGTGTGGGAAACAGGAACGTGTCGAAGGCTGCACCGTCGCTCCTGTTGGTGGAGGGGTTATAGATAAAGCCCTGAGAACTATTAGTGAGGTGCTTCGGAAAGTCCCTTCTCTATGTCCAAGCAATTCTTGACACATTTGCGCAGACTACCTGTGCATACCTGGAAAGTGACGTTGTTGGGAGCCACCTCGAATTCTAAATATGTCTTCGGGTCACTCGTGCCTTTGGCCATGAATACCTCCATGACCTCATAATTGTATATGTCCCCATTCGTCGTGTAAGTGGAATTGTAGAAAAAGCTGGTCTCGTTGTATGCCAGAAAGTCGATATGAAGTACGCTTTCATCATAGCAGAGCTCGACCGCAGTATATGGGAAGGCCACACGGTCCGGACTGGTCAGATCATAGCTCAGATAGCCCTTGCTCGGACACGACGGGACGGTCAAAGATGGCAGCGTGGTGTTCGTCGTTGCGGCAGCACAGGCGCGCGCCGCAAGGGCGACAGTGAGGGCGATCCGGGAGAGCATTTTCGAACGCGACGGAAGGATATGCGCTTATTGACTACCTGAATCCATACTATTCGGAGTGAAGGACTATAGAAAACGGGATTACGACCAGATTAATATAAATCACAAATTAAACCGGCTGAGCGGTAGCGTGACCTAGGCAATGAATCCATTCGACCCACAATGAGGTCGGCGTTAATCGCATCGCCGGTCACATACAACGCTCAACGGCTCGCCCCTGAGTTCCGCAGCTCTAGCTCCGGAGCACAGCACTTTATGGAATGGACACTCTGCACAGAAGCATTTACATGTTTACAGATCTTTCTGAGTCAAGCACCCAGTAAACTTCTACGTGCAGGTGGCAGGTCGCAAGGCAGAGGGGCGATTGTCTCATACATTACTCCATGACTTCCAGGGGCCAGTGGAGTAGGCCATTTTACGTTACCTACTAACCTTGAATTTACACGCTACCGGGTGATCAACTGAACCCCAGTAAGACCGGAATTGTGAACCTCAAGTCCTAGCTGCCTAGGTGAAAACAACTCGGACGAGGTTTTATTCGACGTTTGTCTCCACCCAGACCACCTCATAGGATGAAAGTATATTTGACAGGTCTATTTTGCGCATCAAAATCGGCTGATCTCGCCCGTTGACCTGTGAACTCGTTAAAGTATTAGGTAAACCCCGCGAATATTTGAACAACCGCCGTGCAGTAGACGAAGTCGTCGAGAATTGGCATCTGAATATACCAAAGTAATCATAGGATCTAGTAAAAGAAGCCTGCGAAGGTCACATATAGCAAAGAATTCATAAATCAACACATTTGAATTTTGTATAGAATCGTGTACTCAGGCTTCACCGCCCGCGTCCATGAAAAGAAAAGGGGGGAGGGGTCACCGCGCCTTAGCCCGCCGGCCTTGGAAGTCAGGGCTCTAATTTAGGCCTATAAAGCCACAAAACAGGGCTTATGATGCAGACATAACCCTGCTAAGAAAAGATAGACCTTGAGCCCAAGAATACACACAGGCAATATGCGCAGGTTCACTACATCACTGAAAAATATCTTATCAACCCGTCGGTCCTCGAAGCATTGTCAAGCTATATTACTCCTTACAAGCTTCGCGTCCCGGGGATCTAGAAAGAGAGTACATATTTAGACATTCCGACAAGAACGAGCTTTCCTACCAGGGCCTCTATGAGACCTGGTGAGATCGCTAGCACACTCTCCATGAGGACAACACGTTCTCCAGCTTCCTGGAGCTATAAATGCTGGATTGGCTTAACCTAGCGTATCCCACGTGGATGAGTATTACCTAGGTAGGCGTTGCTGCTTGCGTCGAGGATGGCACTAGTCCTGACCTGTGAGGAAGCGCAACTCCCCCATTAGCAGCGCCGAGGAGTCGGAACCTGCTATAAGTGACGTGACGTGAATGACAACTGGTCTCCATCGAACACAGTTCGAGCTGGAGGGGCCAAGAAGACTGTTGGGAGAAGAGGATTACTCGCTCCTCCACATACGTCCCGGCGCAAACGAGGAAGTGGATCAGACAAAGGCTAAAGCTTGCTAGGGCATGTAACTTCGGAAGAGGGTTCTTTGGTGCCGGGATTGACGCAAGAAAGAGTCGAAAATGATGCCGAAAAAAGTCACGTATCTGCTTATTTCAAATGGGGACAATCGTGAAGTGGCGTAATGTCTACGGGTGGCAGTCAACACCGCTAACAAGACAGAGTCTGACCACAAAGCCCTGCGCCACTTCTTGCTGTCCACTCATCACCTGGGCAGTTGGTGTAATCAAACATGGTTGCATGAGTGATATCGAGTCTATTTTTAATTTGGGAAGTGATCACTCCTCTTCCATGAACGCGCACACTTGTGTGACAGGCACTCAGTCCACGTCGCGCGACGACACTGACCACCAGCACAACGTGAGTTTACCGTTGCCCAAGCTCATCCCGTTTCGTCCAGGCCGAGAAATAACATCTCAGTAGCTACAGCTGCCACCAGTACGCGATCTCGGCTCAACGGGAACGATATGATGATTTCGGGTTCGCCGTCGAAACAGATCCGAGCCAGCATAAAGAATTGGATACTATGCTGATCAACAATATTACACAATGGTCAAGACAACCGAAAGTCTCCCGACATCTTCTGTGATATAGAGGTGGAACGCTGTCTGTGGTATACGTCTGGCAAAGTTCTTCCCAGGTGCTCATGGCCAACGTCCATAATCTCGCCTGGGCCTATCTGCAGAAGAAGGCACCTCCTCTCAGCAAAGACAGGTCTATCATTGTTCACGCCGCAGTTAGTGAAAGTAACGACCCACACACCATCAGACAAATGCTTGCTTCGAAAGTCTGTGAAAACACCAGATAAGTTAGAACAGACATGCCCCTCTTGTGAGTAATTAGGCGTACGGTTTTTCAATGCAACTCGGAAGACAACATTCATACGAAGAAGCAAGATCTCCTGACAGCTGGAGCAGATTCCACCTACGAAGTCTACATATTAGGCAGATCTCTGAAAAAACAGGGTCATGAGTTCAGAATTGGCGTCTCGCGAGGATAAGAAGCCTACGCGTGGCGCACTTCTCCCCGTCATGCCTATCTTGATCCTGTACATATCAAAGCATTCCTCCCGAGATGTTCAGGATTTGACCCGTCACCCATCGGCTTTGCTCCTCAGCCAAGAAGCCTACAACAGACCCAATGTCGTCCGGCGTGCCGATGCGCCCCACCGGTACCTGACTGAGCACCGAATCGATAACCTCCTGCGGCAACTTCCGGAACATATCCGACTCGACAGGGCCCGGCGCCACGGCATTGACCGTATGGCCCTTGGGGGCGAGCTCGTTGGACAAAGTGTGCGTCAACGAGTTGAGCGCACCCTTGGTGGCGTTGTAGAGGCCCAACTCAGCCAAACCGAGCTGCGCGCCGATGGAAGTGATGAAAATGATGCGTCCTCCGCGTGGCGGCAAGTGGGGCTGCACCGCCTGCGCGAGAAACAGAGGCCCGCGAACGTTGGTTTCGAAATAGAGATTGAAGGCGTCCAGGTCAATCTTCTCGAGAGGCAGTTTCGCATCGCCGTGGGCGGCGTTGTTAACCAGTATGTCGATGGTGTCGCCAAAAGCGGCCCTGGTCTCGGACACAATCTTGCTCGGGGATGATAGGTCGCGTGAGTCCGCGCGCACAGTGATGGCCTGCGCACCGGTTCCCAGGTTTCTGATCTTGTCCGCGAGAGCATCCGTCAGAGTGGTGCTGCTTTCGGACGTGTAGACGAGCGTGAGCTAGGGATGTCGTGAGCTGTCTTGTCCGTCTATCTTGACCAGGGGGGGCGGGGGAGGTCTGAGAGGTCTATTTCCTCACCTTTGCACCGCGCTCGGCCAGGCTCATGGCGATGCCGGCACCTATGCCGCGGGAAGCACCTGTGACAATGGCGACCTTGCCGGTCAAGCTTAGGGTGGTGGGTGTGGGGCCCATGATGCTTCACTGCTGGTGGAGAATGGAGGCGGAGAGTGAGATGACGCCAGTCTATCTGGGGGTAGTCATACGAGCAGCCGTTGCATAAAGATTTGGGTTTTGTCCAACAGGAGCATGGCAACCTTTATATACCTACCTAGGTATGCCCAGAAGCAGCGTCATCGTCATCCACTTAAGAGTCCATCTGCATAGCGGAAGGTAGGTAGCTAGCCAAAAAGCAAAATCAGATTCCAAATCAATCATCACACCTCAGCCAACCACACGGCCAGATCTGCATCTTGATTCGTCATGCCTACACCACGCATGCGCTGCTTAGAAATCGTAGATTCCTCCAATTGTAAGCAGAACAAA